CTCTCTCTCTGGTCCCTGCTCACTTTCCGCTATAGCACTCCCATGTTGCACACCACATGTGCCATCTGCTAGTTGTTCTGCCCCAGTCTGGATCCCTCTCACCTTCCTGCTGCTCCACACTGCACACCAGATGTGACATCTGCAGCAGTCACTCCCGGAATATGAACCAGAAGTGACTGCTAATGACGTGCTACCAGCTTGCTTGTTGGTTTTCCAGTACAACTAGATTATAATGTGTATGGTATTCTTGCTATTGTTATCTGTATCTGTCATTCAGCCTGGGTTCACACTTCTGCAGTGCAGCATATCGCATGTAATTCGCACAGGAACCGCACCGCATTCCTGTGCAAATCACATGCGAATTCTGTGCGGTGCAATTTGAGCCATACATTATGTATGGCTCATATTGTAACGCATCCGCACCAAAAAGGTGCAAGACCCTTTTTTTTTTTGTCCGCACTAGAATTGTATTGCATGAGTATTCACACCCATGCGACCTGATTCTGCACATCGCACCACGTTTTGTAAACTGATTTCGGGGTGTTGTTAATATACACACCCGCAGCAGTTCGCATGAACGGGGTGCGATTAAGAAACCGCTGCGAATTCCGCATGGCATCAGTGTTAACCCAGGCTCAATCTTCACACAAATTAACATAAAATTAAAAAGAAAAATGCATCTCCATTGTTCTTGCATCAGTCAGCAACACATTTCCAACACACAGCTCATTTATTTGTCATTTCACGCAATGCGACAGTGAGGAATGCTCGCTGCAAACAATCGATCCACTTTTTTACAATGTATTCCTGTAAAGAAAGGTATTATTGGAAATAGTAATTATCTATAGTTTCTCTTTATATCTACAGATTCTGTTGAATTATTGTATTGATCTATTGTGACCTGGGAGATTTTAAATATGAGCACAGCTGTGTCGTTTTATTGATTCATAAATAGAACAATATTTATAAAATAATGAAAAGTTTATAAATAGCACAGCTGTTTCGATGAAGTACAACTTGTGCCTAGGCTCACATATAATTGTCTGAAGCCCTTTAAAGAGAAGGACATAAGGCAATAAAGTTTGAATAGAGGTGGTGTTGTGCTTGCATACTACAGCATTAAAGTGTAAGCAAAGGCAAAACTTTTTTTTTAGATTTGGATGGAGTGGAGATGGATTAGAACACCTGCCAGGTTTTTATTGCTGTCTGTGCCCCCGTTAGGGAGATTCACCCTCTTATTTGTCCTGTTTACTGTTATCATTGAAAGTGAAATCGCACATTTTGGATTGACACCAGAATAGTAATCAAGGGAAAATCCTCCAATGGGGACAATAGTTATCAAGACCCTGGTGACACCCCAGGATTCCCTCACTTTGGAGGGATTTCCTCTCACTTCCTGTTTTGGCTATGGGACAGGAAGTGAAGAGAAATCTCCTCTATGGAACACAGATGACAAAAAAAAACAAACAAAAAAAAAAGACAGGTTATAACCCTCCCTTTCTAAAATTTTGCCTGCAGTTCTAATTTAATCCTACACTCACACAGCCACACGCAGGTGGCCAGGGGTGGCCGCTGGCAAGGATCAGTAAGTTTTTCCCAGCGGTTCTGAACACTGCATGCACACACTGGGGGGGATTTACTAATTCTGGAGAGTACAAAGTCTGGTGCAGCTCTGCTTAGAAACTATTTAGTGTTCAGGTTTTATTGTCAAAGCTTAATTGAACAAGCTGATGGTAGAAGCAGATTGGCTACCATGCACAGTTGCACAACATTCTGAGTGCTCTATTTTTACCCCCGCTTCACATATATTCGACCACGTTTTGCGTGGGCACGAGAGCCCATTCATTTCAATGGACTTCCATGCCCCGTGACACGCAGGGAAGAAGTCCCTGCACTTCTGAAAAGGCAGCCTGCATGGGAACCTCGGTTCTCAGTACGGTTCTGTTTTCCAGTGTGGGCGGCATGCCATTAGAACTAATGGCACCCACCTACGGGTCTGCATTCCTCTGTGCGAGGGGGGGGGGGAATCCGCTGCATGGATTTTCCAATTTTCTACCACCCGCACATATGTGACCCTAGCCTTAGTAAATTTCCCCCAATATGTGTGACCAGCAGCAGTTGTCAGTGGCGGCTGTCAGATCTGTACAAGTTAATGGCTGGAGCCACCACTATTCACGTTACAGATACATGCCAATACAGCCAGGCTGGACAGGGTTTCACAGCTTTGCCCGCGCACAAACAAGCTGGACACAGCTAATCGGACAGTTTGTACGCAGCCATAGCAGAGATTGCAGCTGGATCCTCAGGTGGTCTTTAACCCCCTCTCAATGCAGCAAACTAACCATAGACACATACTCCAGGTCATTCTCTATATAAGAACAACAATCACAAACACCCAGCAGTATAATGTGCAGTAAGTGCTTCTACCAGCATGATGGACAGAGCAGATACAGTAAAACTAGTAAGGAAATATATGGATTTCCAGGTAACAATTCACTATTGTACCTACGAAGACATGAAGGCGTGTCATTATACACACAAAGATTTTTTTGTTATATATCTTATCTGTTATGTCGATTTGCTATATGTAATCATTCTTGATAGTGCCACTTCCTGCCTGAAAAATCTCATCAACCATCAATTACCAGGGGGAACTGACTTTGGCTTGTAGCACAGAGGCTTAGTCGTTAACACTCTACCTCACAGCACTAGGGTTCTTGGCATGAGTCCCAATCAGGACACTATCTGCATGGAGTTTGTTCTCCCTGTGCTTGAGTGGGTTTCTTCCAGGTACTCTGGCTTCCCACACTCCAAAGACATGCTGGTAGGTTAACTGGCTCCTGTCTAAATTGGTCCTAATATGTGTATATATGCATGTGAGGTAGGGACTTTAGACTGTAAGTTCTTGAAGGCAGGGACTGATGTGAATGTACAATATGTGAAGCACTGTGTAATTTGACGGCTCTATACAAATACTTGCATAGTAAATAAATAACACAGGCACCCCCAGTCAGTTATGAACAACTGCACAACTCCAGATCTGTTGGCACTTGGTGGACCAGTGTGGCAGTTGCAGCGATATAAAAGCAGTCACTCTATAGAGTTAGGTTGGCCATAAATGGATCGAAATTCAGCTTGTTCAGCAGGAACCGGACAAATTTCGATCCATCTATGGGCAGGCTGGTTGTACTGAAGTTGATCTATTGATTGACTTCAGTGCAATCAGCCTGTCAGGTTTGTACAAACGATTACTGCCAGCTATAGTCACTAGCAATGATCATTGTATTTTGATCGCTGGGAAACCTCCCACTGTCAGAATATAATAGCGCAGGGGGAGGGATTCCCCCATCAACACTGATTGTGTTGATGGGGGAATCAAGCAACATTCTTTCCTTCAACCTGTGATTGAAGGAAAGAAAATTGCATAATCTGTGCCTACCCTAAGCTATGCAGTACTGCCATACATCCTATAACATACATGGCTGCAGAAATACCAGATATATAACAAGTGCATGAAAATAATGAATGATAAGCAGTTTAAATCTACTTACACAACACTTTGTTCCATGTCTGGATAAAGATGAAAAATGTGTTGAGTGTCTTCCTTGTATAGTCATATGGGTATAATAGAAGGATAGATTTCACTGTTAAAGATCAGCAGTGGGAGAAAGTCAGCAAACTCCCACCTTTATTGCAGAGGCCAGCAGACTATCTCACGCCCCTGTCTGTCCCCCAGTCTAACCTGATTATCCAAGGTGAAGGTATCAGCTCCAGATAAGTCCAGGAGATGGTGTCAGCTGGAAGAGGAGAGGGGTGTCTTCCAATGTACCTGCAGCCGCTCTGTATTTAGGTCTTCATTGACATTGTTCTCATGCAAACAACAGGACAATGTGTCTGCAGTTGGAGAAAGGGGAAGCTGTCAGGGCTCTCCGCATTGTTTCCAAAATCAGGAATTGTTGAATTGAAACTAGCCCTGAGGCCAAGAGGGCAAGTATGTTTTTGTGTATGGCCTTGAACAGCACATTTCACTCAGAGGGAGATACAGACATAAAAGTATCAGTCTGGCTGATGTCATTTGGAACATCTTTAACTCTTTACAGCCAAATTACTAACAAATATAATTGCATCTTTAGGGCTCATGTACACTGCAGCTGATAAACTCGCGTTCAGGAGCTGTTCTGCGTTTTTTTTTCAGCAGCCCCTGAACTCACCCTAATGTTTTCCTATGTGTCCATGTACACATCATCGTTTACAGGCGTGTACAGGCAGTTGAGTTTACAGTCGTTTTTTTTTGAACGTAGAAAACTTGCGTTCAGCAGTAGATTTTATCAGCGTTTAAAACACAAAATTCTTGTAAATGCGGCTAACCGTGTTTATAGGCGTTTGTGTTTGAAATTTTTTTAAACTCTTCCATTTCCAGATACTGTCCAGAGCCTTTTTTCATCACGAAAAATGCATGCAAAGCATTTTCCCAGTACTAAAATTGACCTAGCACACCATACCTTGAGGTTTTGCATGAAAAAAAAATATGTTAGACACTGCTGAAATAATTTCTGCACAGAAATGAGCTGGAACACATCCAAACACTACAAAAAAAAATGAGACAGCTAATCTCAACACATACTGCTCTCTCTGCTTCTGCTCTCTCTATTTCTCTCAAAATGTCTGAAATAGTTAATTTTTTTACTGTTTTTCAGTGCATTCTGGGCATTTTGGAAGGTCTCCTGAGGTTATCTTTATAAAACGCTTCTAAGCGCAAACGCTCATAAACAACGTGGTGTGCAAACGTGGCTAAACAGATGTTTTTTAACCTACGTTTTCCAGCAGTCAGTTTCCATCGGTCAGAAGTGTCCCATGTACATGGAGCCTTATACTATGATGTATTTTTTTTGTCATTTGAGTACTATTGGAGAAATTTCCCTAAGGGTTCATTAACACCTGTTCAAAGCACTTTACCGCACAAAACAACAAGGCACTATATATACATTAAAATGTTGCAGTGTCAATAATATTCAATGGCACCCCAATGCGTTAACATGTGCTGTAGCACACCACAATGTGCAGTAATGCAACACTGTTGTGATGCGCTGCATTACAAAGAATGGTGCTTGTCCATTCAAATGTGTTGGCAGCACATCCAAATGAGCAGGCTGCCAGAATATAAAGCACATTAATGCAGTGTGTTCATCAATGTGCACTGGTGTGAATGGGCCCCCTGAAGCAGACCTTCCAGGAGAATGGAAGATTTGCTTTACTAAAAGCCCCCCATATTGACAGTGTGCCAAGCATCTTAACCTGTTGGCAAAGCGCACGCAAATATGCGGCCTACCGGGAGCTGGGCCTTGGCGTGAAGGGGACGCATATTTGCGTACCCAATGTAAACAAAGAATGTGCCAAGAGCACACACCCTGCACGCTCCCGGCACATTTACCAGCGCTTCATGGAAAGGTCCCAATCGGTACTTGCGGTCAAGAGCTTTCCGATCATGTCACCACCACCATGACAGCCAATCACAGTGGTCACATGACCATAAACATTGCCCCGCTTCCCAGCGTTACAGACCCCCTTAAAGGGCCAGGAGGTGCTGGTGCCAAGGGGTTCACCATGGCACGCTGAGCCCAGAGCTCCCCTGGTACAACTTTTGCTCTTACCTCTATGGCATGTTTGAAAACTGTCCGTAATAAAGCCAAACTCTTATAAGGGGATTTTATAGCTTAAAGCAGAACTAACTTGCATCTGAGCAACACAAACTGAAAACACAATTTAATTCATTCTGATATTGAAAACTGTAGTAAACTGCGCTTTTTACCTTGTACCTACAGGTAAGCCAGTAATAAGGATTACTTATAGGTACAGTGAATAGCACCTAACGTGCACCATTTAGGAGATATTCACAACTATGGCAGCTGGAGATGTTACTGGCGCATGTGCACTGCACTCTGAATTGTGGACACACTGGGGGGGATTTACAAAAGCTGGCTCACTCAGAATCTGGTTCAGCTCTGCATAGTAGCCAATCAGCTTCTAACCTCAGCTTGTTCAATTAGGCTCCATTCACACTAGAGCGTTTTTCAGCTCAACGCCTGACATTCAGAAACGCTCAACAAGCAAAATCCAATTCATTTCTATGACCCTTGGTCACATATGAGCGTTTTGTCACCTATAGCAAAATGCCTGTCACTCAAAAAAGTATTTGCGCTACTTTTCAGGCAGATCTGAGCATTTTGTCCCCATAGACTTGAATGCAAAACGCCTGAACAGTGGGAATGAGCGTTTTTTTTCAAGTGTATTTTCAAGTGTTTTCAGCTCAAACAACAGCTATTTCTATTTCTATTGGCCTAAAGGAAAAACGCCTGAAAAAACACCTAAAGTATTTGCAAATCTGTTAAAAAAAAACACCCTCAAAGACGACTGAAAAAAACGCTTGAAAAAACGCCTGAAAAACGTTCAGATCAGTGTGAATGGAGCCTTAAGCTTTGGCAATAAAACCTAGAAGCTGATTGGTTTCTATGCAGATGTGCACCAGATTTTGCACTCTCCAGCTTTAGTAAATAAACCTCATTGAGTGTGCTGTCAATCCAGAGTGCTGTGCCGTGATAGCTGACTCCTGTGTGCATGCACAGGAGTGACGCCATTGCAACTCAAACAGCTGGAGTCTGCAAACCCCGAAGGAAGATGGAATCCCTGTCAGCGGTGATGTTGGATGTTCCACGTCAACCGATCAACTTGTGTACAACCAGCCTGCCCATATATGGATCAAAATTCAACTGGTCACAGCTGAACTGGACAAATTTCGATTCATGTATTGCCGCCCTTAGAAAGTACTAAGGCCAGAGACAGCCAAGTAAATAGCATTTTCAGAAGGAGTTCAGCAGTTGCAACCTAGTTATTACGATCACCACTGTTTTTTATTTTTTTTAAAGCAGTATTAAACCCACAATAAAATATATTGCTGCTAAAACTTGTATGTCTCATTTTTGTTGGCCAGTGATCTTGTTTATGACTGTTTCTCTGATGTTGTCTTTTCTATAACAAAATCCATTGTAAAAGAAAATATATATTGCTGCTTATCAATCATTAGATGTGGTGGCTGCATTTGTTTTCTTTTTCTTTTTTTTTTTAAACTTTTTTACATTTGTTTTCACCTGGTGTCTGGCCAGTAACACACCTCCTGTATTAAAGGGCCCCCACCTTGGATGAAGGACCAACAAAGACATCTTTGGACAACAGCATTGTTGACCTCTTGGCGCCGGCCACACGCAAATGTGCGGCTTCTGGTGTCTGGGTTTTGACGCAGAGCGGCCACACATTTGCGTGCAATTAAGAAAAACACATGTGCTGAGAACGCGCACCCTGAAAGAGGGTTTTTGATTATTCCATTCCATCTGATTGTTCTTTTTAGACAAATTGAACAATGTATTCAACATGTGAATGCGCTTGATGCTGCAATGGCACGATGTCTCCATGCAGCAACGCGCACCACCTTCTACGACCTGACATAAACCTCCCAACATTTGGTACTATTCTGTTGTGACTGTAGCTCAGTTGTAAAGACAGAAAGACATATGGGCTTGTTTAATAAAGTAAGGAGCAAAGTACACGCTGCAGTAATTCAGAACAATCAAGAACTTTTATTTATTGTGCCATTTGCTGTAAAATGAGCAAAGGTGACATCTGGCTAGTTTCAATAGGATGCTGTACTCTACACATCATTGTCATTGTTCTGTACATCACATTCCAGGTAAGCCTGTTGCTGTGATATATTAGATGTCTTGACCTACAGTCATTGCTTTATGTCCTCACTTCAAGAACTCTCCACATATTAGCAGTGGTGTATTTAGGTTTTGTGCTGCCCTAGGCAACACAAAAATCATCTGCCCCCAGGGACACGACCAACACACCCCCTTCCACCTCCCACGGAGAGAGCCTGACATTGACCAACAACACCCCTGCCCTTCACCTGGGAGAACCTTCCACTACCCCCCCCCCCCCCCCCGTGATAGAGAGAAAGACACCCATCTTTCCTCACAGCTCCAGACATCCCCAGGAATGAGTGTCAGGCTCTACATACATCATCAAGCAGCCCGCAGCCTCTCTCGGATCCCTCCTGGTTCCCATAGTGCGCATGTCCCTTTTTCCATCCCTTCTTATGGGGGGAGGTGCTGCACCCCTGAAAAATGACGCCCTAGGCAAGTGCCTTGTTTGCCTTGTGGTAAATACGCCCCTGCATATTAGCACAACTTCACCCAACAGGTAAAGACAACCCATGAACTGCAGATGTCAGCCATGCGACATTACCACTCTGCTAAAGTCAAGAGTCAACTCAATTTACTTTTGGACTAGAACTTAGAAAGTGAATATTTGCTATCTCTGGGCTTGACAAATTTGCTTTGAATCTAGGAGCCAGCTAAAAAGGTTAGGAGCCAGGTTTTTTTTATAGCGTAGCGTGGGTTGTCAGCACCCGAGGCAAGGCAACTTTTGGGCGACAAGCTTCACGTGATGCGATTTGCTATGTGGCAGTCATGGCAAAACCGCGCCACGTTTTAGGTGCCACTGAAATTAATGGCACCTGAACCTGCGTTTTGTGATCACAGTGATTCACAATCCTAAAAATGCCCAGGTGTGCAAGGAGCTGCCCTGGTTCACACATTTCTGGTTGAGATTTGAAACTCACAGATTTGCATGACAGACTAGATATTATCGGTTTCTATTGAGGAGGTTCACACAGATGTGATCCACATACATTGTGTTTTGAGCGCCATTACGCAAAGTCCTGTGCAAGTTTGTAGCGGTGCGTTCCAGACTCACTAGTGATGGAGTAGCGTGGCATGCGGAGATAAGTGTTCACATAGGATTGCTATTGACAGGAGTTCTTGAATTTAAGTTAATGGGAGGCGTTTTTGCATTGAAGTCTATGGAATGGGATTTTGCATTGAAGTCAATGGAATGCGATTTTGCATTGAACTCGATAGGGAGCGTTTTTTACCTTGAAGGCAATAGGACATGATTTTGCATTGAAGGCAATAGGGGGTGTTTTTTACATTGAAGTTAATGGAATGCGATTGTGCAGTGAAGTCAATGGGATGCAATTTTGCATTGAATCAATGGGATGTGATTTTGCATTGAAGTCAATAAGTGGGCGTTTTTGCTTTGAAGCCAACGAGACATTATTTTGTATTGAAGTCAATAGGAGGCAGTGTGTGAACCCAGGTGCCAAGACACAATTTCTGCCTCATAGCTGTATATCTGATGTGTGGGTCTCCGGCACTGCTTTTCTCAAGAAACTAATCATGGTCATACATGCTTTGATTTGTTATATGATTGATGTGTGATTCAGTCAAAACTATTGAATCCTTTTGGTCACACAGAGTCGATCAGCCAGGGTGGAATATTATCAATTGTTTTGCATCAATCAGCAGCACCAAGATACTTTGTTCATGAATACAATCAGATTCGAGTTTGTATCAGATTATGAGATTACATGGAAACAGAGATGCAACAGATAATTTACAATTGTATGTTACAATCATATCCTAACTACCAACTGAAATCCTCTTTCCCATGTGTGACATACTGATTGTGTTGGTTGTCAACTATAGATTGATTATTCCTATAGAAAGAGATCAATCAGAAAATAACTCAATCATTTATTGTAGCGTTTATGGCCACCATAAAAAAATGAGATTTGGTCATTACATCATGTCATTACTGTGCTGCTCACTGTTGTCCTTACCGGAAAGGAAGCTGTACCTAAGAACCTGCAATACAAAGATCTCCCCTGCTTTTGCCTCATTCAGCCTGGGTTCACACTGATGCGGTGCAGAATTTGCAGCGGTTTCTGTGCGAATTCCGCACTGCATCACAATCGCACACCCCGTCCATGCAAACCACTGCAGGTGTGTATATTCAGTTAACAACACCCTGAAACTGGCCTGCAAAACTCGGTGCCATGTGCAGAATCGGATCACACCACTCAAATCGCACCACACAGAATTCACATGTGATTTGCACAGGAATGCGGTGCGGTTCCTGTG